AGAGAGAGAGAGAGAGAGAGAGAGAGAGAGAGAGAGAGAGAGAGAGAGAGGCCTGGACGAAACCCAGTGTTGAATGTGCCCATCTGGAGGGATTGAGACAACACGCTGGAGGGTGAACGAGTGCCGTAAGTTCACATTCATATAACACCAGCCCCATAGTACAACTGTAGGACATAACTTTCAATCTCTCAATAAAGGCTTGTATGCACATACATTCAGAACTTCTAAGCCCCGAAATCCAAAAAACAAAATAGAAAACATTAAAGTAGAGAGAGAGTTAGGCCACAACGCTCTCTTCTGTCCCCAACCCACCCCCCCCCCCCCCACCCACACCCCGCCCCTCTTTCCCCCGTCCCCCTTCACTTCCACATATACTCACTGCCAGAAAGTTGTCTGTGAATCCAAAACAACGCTCCTGATCTTGTCTTCGCACCCGACCTCATACAACTATCTTGGCTACCCCAGCAGTTCACCCCTCCCGAAAAGCAAGATACGGTCAGCAACGCACATGCACAGAAATATGCCATACACACAAAAGTCCCATTTGCAACGACGAAATAAATGCAGAACTTCAGCTCTGCACATAAAGCGAAAACCCTGTGCGGACCGAATACAGGAAAAAACCTGAAAGTGTCTCCGTCAAACTTTAACGGGCATACTTATTGTTAAGTGTCGCTCAACTTCTCACAAATTCACTGTCAAACTTTTTCACAAGATCAATAAAACATATCAGCACAGCCACACCTGCAGCAAGCTAAACACATCATCACCTACAGTCCTCCAGGCTCTTTCTCCACCCTGAGGACTTATTGGAATGTCCTGTTACCTTGAGATAACACCTGTCACTTCTCCGCCATTATTATGCTCCGCTTTGAAGACAGGAGATGACCCGAGACACACGACAACTCTCCTCACCCTTCACGTCCTCTGCTGACGACGATATCCCTTTCACTCGCAGCATGCCAGCATCTATGCATATTGCTTTAACAGCTCTGTGAGGTTGCACTTTGCACGCTAACTTCAGAATCACTGGCAATGGACAACTTCAGGGAGTGTCTGTGAATCGCCCGCCGATGAGAGTTAACCAGCAGTTCAGGGGGAGTGTCTGTGAACATCCTCCCTCATACTCCCACCACCACCTTCAGAATGCATCTCCCGATCACGGCATCCCCAGCAGCTTGTGCTTCGACTGCTCCCTCCACAATCACAGCAGCATCGCCTCCCAATGATGAGGAGAACAACCTGAATCTGCAAATATCTCGATGAACCTGTCAGGGTTTAATGAAACTGTCAGGGTAAGTTCACAGGCTTTGCCAATCTGCAGAGACCCATAACTGCAAACCCACGGATACTGCAGGTCCAGGTCACAGTATTAATAACAGTTCTCAGTAAATAGCAGGTTAAGAGCGAAGCAAACACGCCTCCTGCTCGCATGATTCCCAGAGGACAAGGGGTGATACGAACAGAGCTAGTGCAGGCAGCTCAAGGATGTGGGACAGAAAACATCAAAATAATTTTTTCGAAGAGTCAAATAGAGACATATAAACACTTCAAATCCTGACTGAAGTTCACCGTTCTCCCTGACTTGAGAGGGGATCATCGTAACTTAAAAACCAGCAAGTCAATTTTCCATTTTGATACATACCTACGACCCTACTGCCACATCTCTACTACACCAAGAGCCAGAGAATATGCACCTTCCCCAGCCGGACTGTTACCCCGCCAAACGATCCTCCAAACTTCCGTCAATACTACATATAAAGTTGTGAGAGTGTGTCATCAACCACTACTCCCGTAGTCCATCGTAAAACGCATCCAGAAGGGGAAACAATGTGTACCACAGTTGTGTGTCCGAAATATCTTTTCCACGGCTGCCAGTTCGAAGCTCCTTGCCGACATGGGATTGAACCTTTCCCTGAACCAGGGCTCAGATTGCCACAACAGACTTCCTCTAGGTGTCGTTTGTCTCCTTTACACTTCGCGATAGCTCTCCGCAACAACAAAGGAAACTGTTCAGAGCGGTTAAGTCACCCGTTAACTTCATAAGTATCTGTTCATAACATGATAGACTGCAAACCAGAACCATCAGTTCAACACTCTCCAATAAATCAAACTCCCCAGACGAACGGATCATTCAAAGAAATTATGACCATCCAACAGGAAGCCGACACGTGTGCAAAAAATGTTGGCAGAAAGGGCGTGCGATCGAATCTCTACTGGACTGAAACATTGTCAAGACAAACCGTGTATACTATGTCAATCTCTGCGCACGAAGAGTAGACAGGTGCTAAACAGCCGAAAACACCTCTTCCCCCCTCCCCTTTTGCCCCCCCTTCCAGGCAAACGGTGTATGGTAGGTCAACATCCATACATGAAGAGTAGACAGGCGGTAAGCAGCCAAAAACCTCTTCCCCACTCCCCTTTCACCCCCACCTCTCCAGCCACACTCCTTCCCGAAATCACACCAGTCAGTGAACTGGAGTTAAGTGCCCGCGCTGATGTCGTCAAGACAGACCAGCCTAGACCAACCACGTCAGGGCAGACCGGGCCAGACCAGACAGGTCAGGCAACCGCTGACGTGGCCAAGCCAGGTCAGGGCAGACCAGGCCAGACCATAATCCACATATGACAAGCCAATACAACCAACTGGCACTTACCCGGCAAGCACAACCTAGATGTTACAATTGCCCATCTAACCAGACATGCAAAAAAGTCGAAACAAACAACCTTGAGCCCGGACATCGTCATTAGCAACTGCCTGAGAATTCACTCATCGAGGAGGAGACTAGGCAAAACAACCTCACCAAAGCCTGCCATTCATTCCAGGAGACCTTGAGGTCTTCAGCGGTAAGTTGATCTGAGAGATAGCCATGAGCAAGCTAAAGGCCAGAACGCAGACCTGCCAGGATGGTAGTCATCCTGGCCAGTAAGGCAGACACTCCAGCAGTAAGTTGATCTGAGAGAGAGCCATGAGCAAGATAAAGGCCAGAATGCAGACATGCCACGATGGTAATCATCATGGCCAGTAAGGCAGACACTCTGTGCCCCATCGTCATGGTTTCTTTCCACCGTCTCCTTTCTGACTTTGGAACTGCATGCTGGGAGTGAAGACCAAGTGATTCTGTGGCATTGACATCAAGGACCCAGAGCACACAGGAGAATCGACAGGGAGGTGCTTGTGGAAGCAGAGGACCGTCGATAGTAAGCATGCTCACTCCTGGTCACGGCTGCAAAAGATAGTTGTGAGGGGGAAAAATGGTATTGCAGAAAAGAATAAGCTACGAGTGACATACTCCAGTTCGCATCCTTGCGTTACTTCAATTAAAACGAAATACACATTGACAAACACAAACAAACTGGACAAAAAAAGAGAAAAAAGAGAGAGAACCTGTGTGGTTCACGGGTGGTTGTCCTTGTGCCACATCCTGTGTTTGCGGTGCCAATCTCAATTGACAAGAGCGAAGCACCTTGCAAAACAGTCACAGTGGCTTTCCACTGCGTGCGGTTGCACAGGGAAGGCACATCACATGCCCACACCCACCAGCAGTTTGAAAGTTTCATTATACAGAGACTTACTTCCCAGACATTGATCTGAAGAATCCGTGCAATGTGTCCACGCATTCTATCCCATCGCCCAAATTGTTTCTCGCAGTCGAGACAGGTGCCAAAGAATGTAACTCCCAGGATTATAGACAAATCTGACAATGGAACGACTACGGCTGCTGCTTCACAGGTGGGCAACACATGAAGTGACATGAATGTTTCTCCTGCCTGGCATAGTTGATTGGTTGCTTAAACAGCATGACCTTTGCCCGGGATTGTTGACGACATACTGCAGTCAGCATTACCTTCTTACCTGGCCCGCTGCTCTACAGCATGGTTCGCACCAGAGGCCTGAAGGTGGCCAAGCAACAAGTTCGCCTTGCGCCTCGCACGTGGCATTCCTGACTGAAGCAAAGCAGTGAGTGGCAAGATCGCTCCAAGCTTTATTGCTGTTTCTGCATGTTCTGTATTGCTCTGGCAAAGGGCGAGCAGTACCGCTGCAGCATTCTCCTTGTTTCTCGGCGAGCCTGTTCCAAGGAGGTCGACAAGAATGGGCACTGCAATCGTATGACCTATTGCTGAGCGTCCTTCAGGGGCAGTCACAAGAATAGCCAGCATCGCAAGGGCCTCATCAACCATTCCAGTGGTCCTGTCAGCGAGCAATTGCATCAGAGGTGGGATGATCCCAGCTCTGATGGCTCGGGTCTTGTTTCCCTGGTAGATGGAAAGGTTGAAAAGCGCTGTAGCGGCATCTTTCTTYCCACGYGAGACGCCCTCTTGCAGMAGATCCACRAGAGCCGGGATAGCACCAGAAGCCCCAATTGTGATCTTATTATCATCRCCGACAGAAAGACTGAACAACGTCGCTGCAGCATTTTCCCTGGCTTCCATGCTTCCTGACTTCAGTACCTCCACAATAGGAGGCACTGCACCGGCTGCCATAATTGCTGTCTTGTTGCTTTCATTAATAGAGAGATTGAGCAGGGCAGTGACTGCATGCTCCTGTGTTTTCGGGTCTGACGAGCTAAGAAGATGGACGAGGAGCGGAATGGCACCAGCCTGTGCAATGCAGACCCTATTCTCCATGCTCCTCTTTGCGAGCAGCCTAAGTTCTTCGGCTGCTTGTCGTTTGTTCTCGGTCGTGCCAGAAACAAGTTTCTGCAGCAGACCATCGACCAAAGATCGGTCGCCAGTAATTTCTCCATTCTCTGCAGAATTCCGACCCGACCTGCCTGGATTTTGTGCTCCCGGTTTATCAGGGAAGTCCACGCCATTTCCCTCACACCAGGCCATGATCAGACTCTTAAGAACAAAGTTCGGTATCACTACAATATGGGAAAGGACCTGCTGGGTCTTGGGGCATGTCCGATGCCCCGAATTTAGCCATTTTTGAATGCATGCTCTCTCAAATGTCTGCCCTGTTGCAATGATAACTGGGTCCCTCATCAACTCCAACGAGATCGGGCACTTGTAGTCATCTGGAGGAACTGGAGGTAGCTTTCTTTGCTGAACCAGTACCACCGCTGTTGAGGATGACGATGATGGCGCAGATGAAGACGCAGTCATGACAGGAGGGGCATCCATATCATAATTCACACAGAGTGCCACGTTCTCCAACAGGCCCATCACAGCTCCAACTTCTTCCTCCTCCTTCCCTGGAGACAGAGATGGCAGATGTTTCTCAATAACCTTTCTTTCAGCCTCAATCGCTGAACATGTGCTCAGGTCAAGCAACCTCAGAATTTCCTTCATTTTGCCCATGTCAACTCCAAGGCCCTTCTGGTGACACTCAGCAGCATTTTTAAGTTCAGAAAAAAGTACCGCGTCTTTCACGTCGACAACACTCCTTGCTCGCTTCAATTGGGCACGCACAAGCCCAACCTGCAGTTACATCCCACATCAATCTGTTAGTCAACAGACTTTGCCTCCAACTTATTCGTTGAACCTGACTTCTGCCCAAGGCTGAACTTGCTGACTTTCGCGCAACAACCTGCAGCCTTGTGCATTAACCACTTAATCATGGTACGTTGTTTCACATCAAAAGCCACAGTTCTTTTTGCATCTGCTCCAGGCCTCTGACTCAAGACTCAACCTGGCCCCTCTGTACACTTGAACCTGACTTCTGCCCAAGGCTGAACTTGCTGACTTTCGCGCAACAACCTGCAGCCTTGTGCATTAACCACTTAATCATGGTACGTTGTTTCACATCAAAAGCCACAGTTCTTTTTGCATCTGCTCCAGGCCTCTGACTCAAGACTCAACCTGGCCCCTCTGTACACAGCTGCAAAAATCAGGGGCTGTCAGGCGGTTTAAACGTCATTATTATCAGCACGATTGATCAGAAGCCAACACAGTGGCTAGCCACACAAGGGGTTGCATGATCAGTGGCTAGCGTTATCAGAGCTAAGGGGTCGCCCCGTCCGTTATCCCCTGATTGACAGCACATGTAGAGACATGCTAACCCCATATCACGGAGTTCAAGCATGCTGGGCAAGGTGCACATTCCCCTGCATCCATGAAAAGCTCATCCGCTTGACAGGGTAAGCGAAAAGAAGGAAGGGGATGTCGGCTCCTCAAAAGAACAGAGCGTATGTGGACAAGTGTCCCATGCAACTGCACACACACGCATCTCCCCTCAAACACTGGCCCATTACCATTACCTGCGGAGCGGAACCCTGACCTTAACAAGGGCCAGCTCAGAGAACTCAAACTTCCAAGTCCGCAAGCAAAAAGGGAAAAACAAACTCTTCCCTGCAGCTTCTTCTTCCGCTTCAAGGAACTGCCCAGCTGCCCCTCCAGCAGCTGATCATACTTCATTCCTCCCCTTACCATCCTCCTTGATCACTCCCTCACAGTGCTAGTGTGCCATCTTCCCCCATCACCAGCCTTCCTTTCCTACACATATTTCATTGCTCCCCTTCCCGTCCTCCTCAATCACTGCCTCACAGTGATAGCGTGACATCTTCCCCCGTCACCAGCCCTCTTTTCCTACACACAAAATTATTTCGCTGACCATACCAACACTCATCATCTGATTCTCTTTCTGCTTCGCCCTTACCCATTCGAGCACTCTTTGTCCTGCCTTGTTCACCCTCCTTTCTTCCACTTCACCCCTTCCTCCCTCCCTCACTCTACTCATCCTCCTTGTCTTGCTCACCCTTGTGGACCTCCTCCTCCAAGCACCGGGTATTCCTTGCCTCCTAGTTGTCACTAGCAACTTCAGTCGTCAGTCGCACATCCAACCATGTCCTACTTTGTCCCACCTTCTACTCAGCAAGGAATTAAGCACATTGGAGGTGCCTTTGTGTTCAGATGTACAGGTCGCCGCCATAATTGACAGTGCAAGATGAAGCTATTCGATTCCAAGACTGTTAATACATTTTAAGAAAAAAATGGCAAGGCATGTGACCACTTAGGTTCTCAGGAGGAAGGAGGCTGAGAAGGCAAGAGAGAAGTTGGAAAAAGTGTGGTGTGAGGTGCCAAGGGGTGAGGAAGTTAGAAATGCGGGGGGGGGAGTTTCGTATCTGTCTACAGGGGCTAGTTAAGGAATAAGCTGTGAAGAGCACTGAGAAAGATACTGACCAGGGTTTAACATAGGTCTCACAGATATCAACCACACCCCATACGAACCAGGTACAGAAATCCCACTTTAAACTGTGCCCAGGCCAACAGAAACATATGCTATATACTGACAGGAATCATGGGACACTTCGCTATTCTCGTGCTACCTTCAATACTGTTGTCCTTCACTTTTCAACTCCTTGGATTCCAGTTTGACTTCTTTGTTTCTTTCCACTCGCTTTTGCCCGGAAGGACTGAAGGACATATCCTTCATTAATCCACTCTTCATCATATTTTTGGTGGCGCAAAACAAATCCTTTGCTCTTCATTAGCTTTCCAAAGGCATGAAAGAAATCATTCGTTCACTCAACATTTCCCAATCCGATCATCTGATTTCATGCCACTGTGATCGGGCGCAAACGGAGAGAATATGCCTTGCTCATCCAATTTCAAATTAACAGGCCGCACATGTTTTGTGACGTTTGTCCTACCTGCTCCTTGGTTTCGTCTGAAATGTCCAGCATATGCAATGGTAACTCTTCCAGGTGGCGACAAAGCTCTGCAGTAAGCTCATGAAACCTGAGCACGACTGATTCACTTTTCAGAATCTGCAGTGAACAGTCATTCGGCCAAGTGCATATTACACAACAACACAGCAGATTTACACATTCGTGAGATACAACTACACAGCAGCAAGATGCTGACCCTCTCTCTCTAGNAACAACACAGCAGATTTACACATTCGTGAGATACAACTACACAGCAGCAAGATGCTGACCCTCTCTCTCTAGTGTGTGCCTGCTCACCTCGAAACCAACTCTCTCTCTCTCTCTCTCTCTCTCTCTCTCTCTCTCTCTCTCTCTCTCTCTCTCTCTCTCTCTCTCTCTCTCTCTCTCTCTCTCTGCCCCTAACTCCTTCCCCACTCCCTCCCTTCCCTCCCCCCCAATTCCTGCCCCCTCCTTTCATCCAACCTCCCTCTATGGTTTGAGCATGCCACGGAAGCTTGAGCTTGCTGCAAGAGTATGGGTCGCAATGGCTCACAGTAGTTGATAATGCGGATGGTTGAAAAAGGGGGTACAATCTGAGCTAAGCAGACGGCTGCCTGGGGTTGGTGTATATGAGCAGGGTTGTGTATACGAAAACACACCACTCCGATCCTCTGTAAATTACCAGTATGGGCCCTCTCCTCAACACTCTCTGCTGTTTAACAAGGGGGTTGAAGGTTGGTCTGGCTTGCATGACCAAATACCCTGGCAGCCCAGTAAGCAACCAACTGCATGTAGAGTGCTGTGTAATGGAGTGACACCCAATATTTACCAAGAAGTTTTGCAAGAACCAGTGCTGGCCAAAACGGTTTCACGTATATCGTGTAACAGATGCAGTTCCTAGGGCTTGATCCCTAGACCTGTCCTATACCCGTGTACAGTAACCATTGACCTTGCGTGTTTGAACCCGCGACCTACCCCTGAAAGTCGCATGTTTGACTGCTGTACATAGCGTGGTCGCGTGGGTTTGGCCTGTAGACTTTAGTTTTTGCAGTCGTAGGGTTAGTCTAGGTCGTAGTTGCTACAGTTCCAAAAGGTCAAGTCTAGGACCTTCTAGATGTTTCCGAACTGACTCTTCGTAGGTCGTAGGGGTCAGTCCGCAGCTGAGTCAGCGAGGGGCAGTCCTAGCACAGTCAGCAAAGGGCAGTCCCAGTCCTACTTCGTTTAGTCAACGGTACCCAGTCCCAGTCTAACCTAGTCTAGTCAGCAAGTGGGACTGTGTACATCCTGGGCCCAGGTCAAGAGACCAGACCAGTGACGATCCGAAGTATAAACAAAGAGGCAGCGTCAAGTCATTGATTCATTCTGCCTGTGAGCCGTGCGGAAGCGCCGTCGGAGTGTCTTGTGCATCAGAGGTATGCAGGTGCCCGAGGAAGAAGAGGGCTAAGAGGAGGAAGAAGCGGCCATAGCCGCGAGTTAGTAGGAGAGAGACAGCAGCCATAGCTGCCACGTAGGTTAGTGATAGGAGCTGTGTGTCGTGTGTGTGTGTGTGTATGCATGTGGGATATTCAGGGTGATCCTAGTTAGCGTGAGAGAGTGTTGTGTGCGTGCGAAAAAGTTGCTGGTGGATACAGTTGATCGGGTGGGAATCTGTGTCTGGCGCTGGGCGCCATAGCCATTCAAGACAAGTTTGAATCTGATCTGTGTTCCTGGCCACGATCTTATCTCTGAGCTTTGTGTGGGCACGATTGTGCCAGTTCATATTCGTCATCTGTTTGCGTGCACGCTGAAAGCGAGTTGCGACAAGTCTGATTTCATGGCTGTCTTAAGGACAGAAACATGGTAAAAAAACACGACATGCTTGAAACCGATGTGGGAAACATGGTATGCGCTGGCTGTCTTCAGGACATGGCAAAAGAACACAACATGCTTGAAAAAGCACAACATCAATGGTACAGAAACAGGGTCCAAAAAACAATATGGTTGAAAATCGATGTGCCTAAACCAAAAAAGGAACATCAACCACTTACCATATACAACCTGCTTCCATCCCGGCACTCCTCCACCAGCGTCTTCGACTTCCGGAAGACAGTCTCCATGGCCTTGAGTGCTGACTGTGCACTGTGCGGAAGCGGGGACGGCACGTCCCTTAGCTCCTCGAGAAGAGGAACAATATTCTTGATGCGCCTCGTGAGTGTCAAACAAAACTTCTTGTGACTTCTTGCAGTTTCCGCAGTCTTTGACACATTCTTCGAGAGCTGTATCAGTTGCTTGAGCAACAGCCAGGATGATTCTTTGTGGGTTGCAGTACTAGTACCTGTTTCTCCCAAGATGGGGGCCATGGGCAGTGGCGGCAGTTGCACATCCTTCACACCAATAACCTCCCTGTGATCTCTGTGTTGCACACTTCCTAATTCCCTGCTTGGCAAAGACTTCACATCTCTGTGTATGGATGCCTGCCAATCCCTTGTAAACCGCCCACCTATAGAAGCTGCCATTGTTGCAGCCCCTGCACTACCGGTAGGGAGGGAAATAGAAAAAGAGTCCTCTTGCCACGTGGATGCTTCTGCAAAGCCAACAAAATGCTGTCTTCCAACCTTACTACTCGGTTTCGCTTATCCAGTGAACTGAGTGAACCATAAATTATCTACACGATAAGAAGACCACCAATGACCACACTGCTAGTCCAATCAATTACCACCCAAAGTATTCCAAATTAGGAAACTCCATGACTTATACACGACCACATGACCAATCAATGAGTGAACCGTCCATCCACCCACCAAGTGACCGTCAATCCACCCCGTGCTCCATTGCATTCACCACCTTTCATGATTGAACACACCACTTCTTCAACAGTCACCTACCTTTCCTCTCCAGGTGTATATATATATCATATATGTGTGAATATCACTGTATAATACTGTATATACTGTATAATAATTGTGCGTTCTAGTATGAATCGATGGCCTGGAGTGTCACAATCCCGTGAGGCCAAAAAGGGCTATAGGCAGCCTCCTGAGAAACTTTGGGTGGTCTCTTCTAGGCACCCCTCCAAGGACCATCAGGCCGCTCTAGAAAAGGAGCCTTCTGCTCAGAAACCTCCAAAATGTTTGGAACTTTTGTGGCCAACTTTTCTTCCCTACGAAAAGACGACCTTCAATATTTGCTTCACTTCAAGAACAAATGCATAGTTCATGTCAAGTGGTCTGCTCTCCCGCAAATTCTGCAATCATGCAACACAAGGAGCCAAGTGCAAACGCCTACATATGCAAGCACGCATACAGGATCAAAGTTAAAAACCCATACAAGTTCTTTTTTTTTCTGCATGCATGCATGCAGAGTGTTTCTGTTTATTTTTATTTTTTTCTCAATGCTCTATTTACATTTCGCCAGTCATCTCGTTACATTTGCACAATCCAAAACCAAACAGGAATCATGAACCGTTCCAGTTGTGAAGGATGCCCCGAAGGGCATCGCACAGACTCATTGCCAACACACATTCCATTCGCACTTCTTAGGCATAAAACAGAAAGACCTATACTCCCGACTCAGTTTAGAAGACATTGCTGCGGATGCAGAACCGAAACAACGAAACCTCGACATATCCCACAACTACTTGTATGTCCTGATTGCATCTGGACTCGAACTCGGGTCTGTATTTCAACAGTTCACGAGTGTACCAACTGGGCTAGGGTCGTTGTAGGTTGTAATCTACCGAATGAGAGCAACCTCTTTTTTTTTTTTTTTTAAATGGAGCAATACTCTATTCGTGGGGAGCAACACGTGCTGGGAACCAGGCCCGGCATCCCACTTGAAACCATATTTGAGAACATATACAGAACAAAATGCGATACAAGGGCCATTACCCGCCTTCAGCTAAGAATAGCAATTACACCTTTTCTAAGGGTCATGAGCAATTACTAGCCTATTCAACAAAGGGCCTCATGAAATAGGCTAAAATTTAGGCTAAAATTTAGAAGAAATTTCAAGAAAAATGAGAAGTCTCTTTTCTGGCTACAATTCAAAGGAACTATAAGACCATCAATCATTATCCCCTGAGAGTGTTCGGCCAGAGAACAAACTACCTTAGTGTGATTTCACAGCCCCACCTCAGCCTGCCTCAGCCGTCATATCCTCGATACATAGTCTCTACCAGGCCTCACACCCCCACTGCTAGGTTACAGAGCGACGCGACCCACTCCAGAACAATCCCCCACGCCAGGTTACAGGGCGGCCAGCGTCGTCTATGTACCAGCTCGCCAATGGACACGGGACTGCCTTCGACCCTCGACAACTTCCCAGATCTCTCTACCAGGCCTCATAAGCCCCACATAACTGGGGTTACAGGACAGCGCAGCCAAGCCCCAGCACCGACCAGTGTCGTTCTGGCCTCGTCCATTCGCCAACCTATGGTTCTAACGGCGTCAGCAGAACACAGAGCGAACCGCCTATCACCACCATAGCTGCGTTCCAAGACCTCCAACTCCCTCATGCGCTGATTGTGAAACATCCATCTATCCCTAACCCCACTCCGGCAAGACTTACCACAACGGAGCCACAATCTCCACCGCTGCTGTGCACTATTTCGTCCTACTAGTTAGCCCTCTTCACCAGTAAGACACCTTGCATCCAACCATGCAGGATCCCCACCCTCTGGACCAGTGTAATCCACCCCAACCAGCGCAAAGCTTTTGAGAATTTTTTGGAATTTTTAGGAAATTCAAATTGCACAACCAACAGAGATGTCAGAGCCTCCTCCAACACCCTCACCCTCTGGCAGCACATCTTTGCTTAATATCCACATTCCCATCCGGCGACTGCTGCTATTCAAGCCCCACATGCCATATTGAGGCCCTCCGGTCATTCGTTCATCGAAGAAGTGCGGACATGTCCGTTCGCCATGATGTTTTGCCCGGCCTTTGGACGTGGTAGCTGATGACCCCAAGAGCATGAACGTCCATCCTGTGAGTGGACTCCCTGCCCGGCCGTAATGCAAGGCATGCCAACCGTACAATGAGGAGGAAGAGGAGAGGGGGAGGGATAACACGTGTCCCAACCCCCTTGCAAAACTGTGCCACGTGGGCCTGGCACATAGGCTGGAAACGTGGCCACAGTCCCACAGCGGCTTGCGCTTTGGCACGTGGTCACACAGTCCATTGCGTGAGAGGAGACGACCACCAAACAGCGTTTGGTCGTTATTGTCATGGGCTCGAGGGAATTGTGAATATCCCATGCGTGCCCCTGGTGACCTGACCATGCGACAACATTGGCACAGTGATTGCTTGCAGGGGCAATCGCGCTGAAAGTGATGGTGGACCCATGGCCGATATCCACCATAGTTGTCAGCCTGACAGAAATCGAAAGCATACTGGATGGACCAGATCAACATGGCTGCATCTGCTTCGTATCATAATGCAACCGTTAATGATAATAACAGCTAGTTAATTACTGTAATTAGCCGTGAGGAAGCATGTCCAGTTCTCAACCCGTCACTCACATAGCTGTCACAAAATGTCAGTCTTCGAGTGGAGAAAAACGGAAAGAAAGCAACAAGGAATGTAAATAAAACATACATGAACAAATGATAATAAACAGGACAGCCTGCGATAAAAAACTGAGAGAAACGTGGTTCCAGGACTACCTGCAAGGCGACTCTATCGGACGGTATCCACGCTTTCATTCAGTAGGAGTTGACCCCCCCCCCTTCCCCCCCTCCCTCCCTTTTTAACATGATTGTAGAGTGATGATTAAAAAGTACGAATGTCCGACTCACTTGCACCGTGCTCTTTTTCTGTTTTCAGCCAAAGAGGAGAGCTATTTCAGCAGAAATCTGCTGGGAGACTTTGTGGTGCGATGCGGTCAAAGGTCCAACCTGTAGATCAATAAGTTTGTCGAACGGAGCCCGATGACAGATTCTGCGACAAAACAGGGGGGCTGCGTTTGACTTTCGCTAACGAAACACTGACCCGCCCAGGTTCCCGGCCACCTGTACAAATCACGGCTGGTTCATGATGACAAGTCCTCATGGTATACTTGGCCACCAAATTACGGCAGTCATCAAGTCCGGCATAGAAAGTTACGCTCTGCTTTCCTCGTCGGGCCTTGCCTACTTGCCAACAGACCGTGTTGTCACTGTTTTCTTTGGGACGAGGTCGCGTTCAATTACCGCCTCCTAAGGTGTGCCTCAAATCAGCCACAGCAGAGAAAAAATGAAAATGATACTCCTCCTTTGGGGCATCGGTCAAAATTGGAACGGCACAAAGAAAACTAGCATGGTCCCTGCACAATTATCACACGCATAAGTGTTGCTTTCAATCGCTGCCTGCTAAGGTGTGCATCAAATCAGCCATAGCAGAGGAAAAAAGGAAAATGATACTTTTCCTTCCAGACATCTGTTAAAATTGGAAATGAAACAAAGAAAACTAGCATGGTCCCTGCGAAGAATCGCACGCATAAATGGAGATATGGTCCAAATTTGTAGTCCCATCGTGGATTAGCAGTGGGTGTGGAAGATCTGGGAGTTTTGGCAAGTGCGACTTTGTGGTTGTGGTTGCTTTTTAGCTGCAGTTGCCTGTAGCTTACGCATTGATTCCTTAGGGTGGTTGGTGGGAGGAAGAGGAAGAGATAGGCATGGAGAATGGTCGTGTGAGCGTTTTCATTCTCTATTCTGCTATCTTGACAGATTGCCCCGTGTTTTATTTTAGCTGGAAAGTGGGTGTAGATAACAGAAGAGGGAAATAAATCGGGGCGTTTGCAGCAGCCCTTGCCTGCGGTTTATGAATCAATTCTTCATCGCGGTTGGCAGGAGGAAGTGGGAGAGAGAGGTGTGGAGAATGTTTGTGTAAGTGTCTTCTCTGTTATCCTATCTTGACCGATTGCCGGTCTTGTTTTCTGTCCGCCTTCAGCTGTTCTGCCGCTGTAAATCGTGAGTACTATCAGTTTCTTCTGATTTTCATCGTTGATCTGTCACGTCAATCAAGAAGTAATTTACTGTTACCATCTGGAAGGGTTTGAGAGGTTCAGGAGATATAATAGGCAGTCTAACGGCTTTTAGCCTTTTCGGTTGCTGCATCTCTACAGATGAGAGAGAGATGGCTTAAGCAAGCGGCCTAGATCAGTTGGTTAGGCATGCAAGTGGCATTGAGGAGGTGGTGGGTTCAATCCCCACTGACCGCCTAGGCACGCTGGGTACCATTCCGCTGAGATAGTTGGCTTGCTCCCCCCACTCAGTATGGGAAGGGTCTTTGGTCATCACAGATGTTGAGGGGAGGGGGGTGAGTGCTGGCCATAGACAATGAAGGTACTCGATGGGGGGGAGGAAAAAAGATGGGAGGCGCAGCTACTGACAAAATGCTCAGTCTTTACGTTAGCCGAGGCCCCCCCACTGGCGGCCCCACCCTACTCCCTGACCACCACCAATTAGGGCGGGAGGCCACATGCATCCCCTTGATTGTGAGAGGCAGCTATGCTCGCAAGGATCCCATATATAGGCTTGGGAGAAGCGATAGGTAGGTAGTGAAAGGTGAAAAAAGAGAAGAATATAGCTTGTGTGAGGAATGTGTCCTCATGGGGCCCTAGACAACATGCAAATGTTCTGGACTGTGGCCCCCAGCAAGCCTCATGCCCGCTCTAAGTGAAGGCGGGCCTGAATATCCACGAGAGGGCCTCATCTCAGCATTTTCCAATGTGGGTATCAGACAGTTGTGGCACGCCGGTTGGTTGAAGTGCAACCTGGGCCTCACCCTGGGCTCTTCCAGAAGAAGCAGCTGCGTCAGGCAGTTGAGCCCAGGATGCAGGTGATTGCGCCCTGGGCACACGCCGCGTGAGGCCGACACATCACGAAGTGGCCGCGGGCCAATGAGAATGCAGCATTGTCAGCACACCAACCCCGCGGGCGAATGCAAACACAGCAAACATTCGGAGCCTGGATGATCCTGGGTGTGCCCAACTGAAAAGGGCCCAGGCCGTCAACTGTAGACATGGGCCTGGGCCCAGACACTGGGGCCCGACCAGAAGCTACTGGAAACTTCCTCGGCCAGGCCCAGACAGTCCAGCAGCAGGGCAGTGACTCCCATATAGGGAGGAGGCCAGCCAGTGTAAGGCATTCTGGCCTAGGCACGCAATGCGGACACACTGCTGCGGCAGAGCGCAAGTGTCTGCCTGCGCACGGCAGCTACGAGGTATGGGGCGCTGCAGGGCAGCGGGGCGCCAAGCGGCCATAGCCGGGCTGCAGGGGCGCGAGCGAGTGATGGACGATAGTGGTCTTCAGGGAAGGAGGCGCAGGTGTGGGTGGACAAGGTCTGATGAGGGGATGTGAGAGAACGTACCTGGTGTATGTGGGAGGTCGGCATTGGTGTTGACGTCATGTACATTGGTCTTCGTCGTCGAAGTGAGCCTGTTGCACGAATGTAGATAGGCTAGATAGGATGAGTAGAGTAGGCTGGGCGCCAGACAGTAGAAGCAACATCGAATACTGTGTTGGTGTGGCCTGAGGGCTTGGACATTGGCTCACGAGTTCATCGTATCGCTCCTATTTGGATGGAATCTTGGTGCATTTGAGCTCTCTGCTTGTTACATGAATATCTGGACTTGCTGCGTGAGTTTGCAACATGGTTTTCTGTTTATCTCTCTCGCTCATATTCCTTGCACTTACCTTTGAAAAGAAACAAAAAAGCGAGAGAGAATCTGAGAGATGGCTTTCTTTCGCGAACGTCCTACAGCTTTGTATTGAATTGGGTGCTGGAATCCCTTGACGGTCCATCTCTCTATAATAGTATAAAAAGAGAGCACGGTGGAAAAGGATTGACAGGATAGCCGCTTGAGAGCATAGGCAGCACTATGGGTTGTGTGCTAGAATCCCTTGACGGCACCTCTCTCTATAATAGTAAGAGAGAATGATGATAAGATAGTTGGCTCTCCATAGGGATTGAGAGGATGGAAATGACTGTCGTTAGCCCCCTTTTGTTTTCGTTTTTGGTAAGATAGGATATATGTGAACTGCAAGGGCGGGGATCTGCCTGCAGTGACAGCCGGAGACCTACCTACCAGCGCTGGGAAAAACTGTTGTTTGTAAGCCTTGGACACTAGGCCCCTTGAACTGAAATTGAATTCGGGTCGGAAAAAGAAAAAAAGAAATTATGGGGATCACTTCAAACTGAAACAATACGTAAGAGTGTCTGTTTTTCTTTTCTTTTCTTTCCTTTTTTTTTTTTTTTCTTTTTTTTTTTTTTGGATGCAGAGAAGCTTTTATGGGCCTCGGGTAACGATGACAAAAAAACACAAAATCGAGAAATACTTCAAATTAGGAAAGAAAAAGATATGATGGTTTTGCGACACGCGGGAAGAGAATATGGAGAGGCAAGGGAGCAGAAGGGTGGCAAGGGTCGAAATGCATCACAAGTGCACTATACAATGTCAATTGCTCACAAATACTCATGAAACGGTCGAAATTGACGACCTACAGTTTTGTCCGTTGAACAATTGGCCAGTCTTGAGGCTGACATAACGTGGTGGAAGTGAAGTGGCACGTATCTGTCGGTCCTGACCTTTACACAAGGCACCTGCTTTGGACGTCGAACCACTTCAATTCCACCACGTTGTGTCAGCCTCAACACTGGCCATGGGGTCCAAGTCTCCGGGATCCCGTACATTCAATTTTCAGCAAATCTGGCGGTGCCCCGTGTCCCCTGCAATGTGGCACTTGCTGCCCCCGATGGTGGGAACCCCAAGAAAAATTCTGAGTGGGTTTACCAGCTATATCAGCCGCTGCAGCAGGCCCGGCAGCAAATGCTGCACCAGCCGCAGCAGGCTCTGCAGCAAATGCTGCACCAGCTGCCGCCCTAGCTGCAGCAGGGCCTGCTGCGGCATCTGCAGCATGTGCTGCTGGACCAGATGCTGCAACTGCAGGAGGTGTTCCTGAAGCAGCAGCTGCGGCATCTGCAACATGCGCTGCTGTAGCAGCTGCAGCAGGTGATGCTGCAAGTGCTGCTGCAGTGGCAGCTCCAGGAGTTGCTGCTGCAGCAGCACCAGCTGCATCATGTGCAGCAGGTGCTGCTACAGCAGCAGCTCGAGCAGGTGCTGCTGCTACTGCTGCAGGAGGAAAAAAAAGGAAACAGAAAGGGAAAAAAAAAAACGAAGAAGAAGAATGGGGGAGGAGGTGGAGGGAAGAGGTGGATGGAGGAGGTGGCGGGAGGCGGGCGAGACGAGGGCGGGAGGAGGAGGACGTGGAGGAGGTGGCAGAAGGAGGCTCTTTGAGAAGGTGGAAGTGAGCGGGAGGAGGTGTGAGGGAGTAGGGCGGCAGGAGGGGAGGAAGTGACGGGAGGAGGGCGGGAGGAGACGGAGGAGGAAAACGACGAGGTGGAGGAGGAGGAGGTTGGCGACGAGGTGGAGGAGGAGGAGGTTGGCGACGAGGTGGAGGAGGAGGACGTTGGCGGAAGGAGGGCGAGAGGAGGCGGACGAAGCAGGAGCAGGAGGAGGATGGGGAGGAGAAGGAAGAAGAAGTAGGAGAGGAGGAGGAGAAGGAGAAGGAAAAAGAAGAAGAGGAAGATGAGGAGGAGGAGGAGGAGGAGGAGGAGGACGACGACGAGGTGATCACGGTAGGGGGAAGGGGGGGGGAGGGTCGCGCAAGGCAGGGGTGATGGCGATGTCGAAGCGGAGGGGACGTGTCGCGACGTGGGAGCGAACGTTGCGCACGGGATGGCGAGTCTATGGCGAAGGGGAGGGAGGGGCACGGCGGCCTTCCTTTTTTTATTTCATCCTTGCGCAATGGCCATGATAAATCTTCTCTGTGTCCATGGAAGAGGAGGAGGACAACGAGGAAGGAGAGAAGGAGGAAGAAGAGGAGGACACGGCGGCCTAATCTTCTCTGTGTCTATAGAAGAGGAGGACGACGAGGAAGGGGAGAAGGAAGAAGAAGAGGAGGAGAAGGACGAGGAGGACGAGGACAAGGAAGAAGAACAGGAGGACGAGGAGGAGAAGGAAGAAGAACAGGAGGACGAGGAGGAGGAGGAAGAATAAAAGAGGAGGAGGAGGAGGAGAAGGAGAATGACGAAGACGAGGAGGAAGAAGAGGAGGAGGAGACGAGCAGAATAAGGAGTAGGGGAAGGAGGAGGAGGTGGAATAGAAGAAGCAGGTGGAGGAGGAGGAGCAGGAAAAAGAAGAGGAGACGAGGAGGAAGAAGAGGAGGAGGAGGAGGAGGAGGATCTCCGATAAGGAGTAGGAGGCGGCGGAGGAGGAGGAGGAGGATCTCCGATAAGGAGTAGGAGGCGGCGGAGGAGGATATCGAACGGGAGGGGAGGTGTCGCGTTATCGAAGGGGAATAGTTGCGCGATTGGGGGGCCGGGGAGGTCGCGCAGGGGAGGTCCGCGGGGGCTTATTTTTTGGTTTCTTTTTCCTTGCGCAGCGGCCATGTTTATCTTCTCTGTCTCAATATAAGAGGAGGAGGAGGAGAACGAGCAGGACAAGGAGGCGGACGATCAGGAGGAGGAGGAGGACGAACAGGAAGAAGAGGAGAGGGAGAAGGAAAAAGAAGAAGAGGAAGAGGAGGAGGAGGAGGAAGAGGAGGTGGAGGAGGGGAAGGAGAAGGACGAGGAGCTCATGATAGGGGNGGGGGGGAAGGTCGCGCAAGACAGAGGTGAGGGCGATGTCGAAGGGGAGGGGAGGTGTGGCGATGGGAGAGCGGAGGTCGCGCAGGGGAGGGCGACTCTATGGCGAAGAGGAGGGACGGTGCGCGGCGGCCATTCTTTCTTTTCTTTCATCCTTGCGCAGCGGCCATACTAATCTTCTCTGTGTGGATGAAAGCGAAGTAGGACGAGGAGGAAGGGAAGAAGGCAGAAGAAGAGGAGGAGGAGGAAGGAGGAGGAAGAAGAAGAGGAGGAGGAGGAGGAGGAGGAGGAAGAAGAAGAGGAGGAGGAGGAGGAAGAAGAAGAGGAGGAGGAGGAGGAAGAAGAAGAGGAGGAGGAGGAGGAGGAGGAGGAAGAAGAAGAGAGGAAGGTGAGGCGGAGGACAATCAGAATGACGAAGGGGAAGAGGAAAAGGAGGAGGAGGACGACGAGAAGGATAAGGAGGAGGAGGAGAGGAGGAGGGGGAGTAGAAGGAGGAGGATAAGCCTATAAGGAGGACGAGCAGGATAAGGAAGAGGATGAAGAGGATGAGGAGGATGAGGAGGACGAGGAGGATGAGGAGGATGAGGAGGATGGGGAGGATGAGGAGAATGAGCAGGAAGAAGAGGAGGAGGAGGAGGAGGAGGAAGAAGAAGTTGAGGAGGACGACGAGGAGGAAAAAGAAGAGGAGGAGGACGACGACGAAGACGACGAGGAGGAAGAAGAAGAGGAGGAGGAGGATGACGAAGACGAGGAGGAGGAGGAGGAAGAGAAGGAGGATGACGAAGACGAAAGGCGGCGGAGGATAAACTTATAAGGAATAGGAGTCGGTGGACGAGGAGGATATCGAAGGTGGAAGCGGAATGTTGTTGCGAGGGGGGGCCCGGGGAGGTCGCGCAGGGGAGCGGGAGTTGATGGCGAACGGAAGGGGACGTGCACACGACTTATTTTTTTGTTTTTTTTTTACCCTTGCGCAGAGGCCATGCCAATCTTCTCTGTCTCGATATAAGAGGAGGAGAAGGAGGATGACGAAGACGAAGAGGAAGAAGAGGAGGAGGAGGAGGAGGAGCAGGATAAGGAGGAAGACGAGCAGGATAAGGAGGACGACGAGCAGGAAAAGGAAGAGGAGGAGGAGGAGGAGGAGGAGGAGGTGGAGGAGCATAAGGAGGAGGAGGAGCAAGATAAGGAGGAGGACGAGCAGGACAAAGAGGAGGAGAACGAAGAAAAAGAGGAGGAGGAGGAGGAAGAGGGAGAAGAAAAAGAGGAAGATGCGGTGAAGGTGACGAAAACGTAGACGAAGAGGACGAAGAGGAGGAAGAGGAGGGAGAGGAGGAAGAGGAGGAGGAGCAGACCTACGTGGAAGACCGGAGGCGATGGCCGCTCGGCGACGTGCAGAACCCGTGTCCACGTTCTGTGAGCGTTGACGTTGAACGCCGATACCGTCGTCGCGCGCGGCGGACAGACAAAGCCACGCAATCTCGAATTTCAAAAATGCCCGATCAGGGCCGTAGATCTTCAAGATCTAACGGACTCAATCTGGCCTTTTTTCACTTTTGGAGGCCCTCCTGTCGGAAAATTCGTAGTGGAGCCCTCGGCGGTAGAGGGCGTCCGCCATTGACCGCCAGCGGCCCAATATCTGCAAAACCGGGTCCGCCCCATTTTTTCGCAAGGCCCTCTGGCCCCGGGCGAACAATTGGGGCAGATGCCTGGGACGCCCTGACATCCCGGACGTTTTGCAGGGACGGGGCCTTAACAAACAGCTGGAGAGGGGGAGGAGGAGGGTGACGAAGACACCAGGGGATTTTTGCTGCCGGCCTGCAGGGCTCCTGGTCCAGTGCCGAACCGAACAGCTGTCAGGTGAAGGGCCCCGACGTGTCACACCCGCGCCAGTCCTTGGTAAGGTTGAACCGGCCCAGGCAAAACGGCAGACCGGTAACCCTTTGTGAAGGTCTGCTCACACTGTTTTGGAAACCACGTCCAGATTACACAGGTCTTCTCCAGATAAAATAGGAAAATGGCATGCTACTGATGCTGGCAGATCACACAGAAGTGAGTCGAAAAGATGGGCCAGAGGCCCGCACACCGCGGGAAAATCAAGGGCGGGTGGGACCGCTTCGCCAAAAGCAAGGCGAGGAGAAAAACTCGACCTCTGTGAGACCTGACCCTTGTGCCGTGTGCTGCGTGCCTGCAGGTTCGCGTTTGCGATGAATGCGGTGAGCGGTCGGGGTGTGGAGGGCGCAGCTCGAGAATCCTCGCAAGCTATCGTTGCAGGGCAGGCACCCGTGACTTATACAGTCGCGGGTCAGGGCAGCGGTAGCGGTCGGACCAGTGAGGCTGTGCTCCAACCTGGGTAAGTCACATCACTTATTCCCTTGTCGTAGATGTTGCGCTGCTCCTGTAGCTCGTCGATGAATGTTGTTGTCGGTTGTTGTGATGCTCTCGTCCGTAGATGCTGAACTTGTGTGGTCTCAATCCAAAAAATAAAAAGTCGCCGTAGCGGTTCCAACCGTGGTCCCGGTTGGTGAAAGTGTGGGCTGGTGATAGCTGCATGGGGGGGTTGTCGCCGTTGGTGCAGTGGTCAACCGGAGGGGTTGTCGTAGGCATAATGCTACACAGGTCTGCTCCAGATAAAATAGTAAAATGGCATGCTACTGATGCTGGCAGATCACACAGAAGTGAGTCGAAAAGATGGGCCAGAGGCCCGCACACCTCCAAACACCGCCCATCTCCGAAAAGATGGGCCAGGGAATGGTGGAACGAACGCATGAGTGATGGAAGTTGGGGACGAAGAAAACCTACTCCGGAAGTTGAAGGCGGGTATGAAGCAGGTCTGGAATGGAGCAGCAACTTGATAGCAGAGTTTGGAGCTGGTCGGCGATAGAAGAGCGGCATGAAGAAGGTTCTTCTGGCATTGAATGAATGGTTGGAACGTAACAATGTTGGAAGAAGCTGCATGACATGTGTGGACTTGGATGTGCTATCATTTATAAGTAGCCAATGGCTTGTTGAAGTTGAAGGTCAATGCCGTACATCTGATGCTGAAGGTCTTCCCTTGGTTTCTCCGTCAACTGTTGATGCTGTTATCAATTGTCTAAGTGGTTGTTTCCGATTGCTGGGAAGAGATGGTACAAAGGATCCATGTCAGAGTAGTAGAGTACGAGCGCTTAGGAAGGCATATCGAGAGTATTCTCTACAGAGGGAGGTGACGGAGGAGTCGGCGCGGCCGATGCAGTGGGAGAAACTGAGGAGGGTGATTGAGTATATCCGAGAGAAGGTGAAGGTTTTGAAGGGGTATCCGGAAGCGCAGGCGTATCGCGATGGTGGAGTTTTTTGTATTTGTGGAAGAGTTGGCAGCGATGCAGAGAGGGGTTGCGTTTGCAATACAAAGAAATAGATATTGATCAAGGTATTGTGCGACCCGGTTACACAAAGACTGACAGACAGGGGGGGCGGTTTATGATTAGGTTGCGGGATGCGTGCAGTGATGGAGAGACTTTTATTGGATGGCTTCCTGATATGCTGGCGAGTTATGAGAGAATTGGGCAAGATTTGCAGGGTGGGTATTTATTCCGGCCGATGCGCGGGGCGGGACCGATGAGTGGTGGTGGGTTCAATAAACGAATAGAAAGGTGGTTTGGGGAGATAGGTTTGTATGAAGGGGAGAGTGGTCATAGTTTTAGAATAGGTGGGGTCTAGGCGGGAATAAAGGAGGGTTGGAGTTTGGGGGAGATGATGCGGCAGGGTACTTGGAGCAATGTTGGGACATTCATGAGATATGGATATGGGATGAAGCGTGGGTGGAAAAGGCGGGGTGATGTTAGTGATTGTGAGGAGTTAGGTCGCGAAAAAAATAGCCGTGAGTCCGAGGATTGCAGGGTTGGGGGTGGAGGGGTTGACCCTATGGCTGGGGAGGCAGGATAATTTGGACTCAAGGATGGTGAAACGCTGGATAATCTTTAGAGAGAGTATTTGTGGGTACCATGAGGTACGTTGAGAAGAGTGCAGGATGAGTAGATAGTGTGCTTGGCTTGGTACAATTTTGGCCAGGACTTGATGGAGGAGTGAGGTGGGGGGGAAAACCCATCTGTATGATTGACACGCCAGATCATTCCAGTTAAGGGACAGTTCGTCTATTTGTGAGGCTTTGTTAGACCAGTTTCTAGAGACGAAAGTTGGGCAGAAATGATGGTAGTCGGAGGCGAAGAGGTCTATGCCTGGTATTCCTAAAGTGGAGAAAATTATGGCACGGAGATGGCTAGCCAATCTGTGTTATCTTCTATTTTTTAGATGGAATCGGTGATTGTGTTAAGTGATCGTGGTATCCATAAGGGATTGAGGAGAACATCAAAAGTGACTAATATAGAGGCAATGTCGCGGACCCATGGGTTGAAGGAGTGGTTTGTAGAATTCATTTTTAGAAGGAGTCCGATTGCTGCCTGGCTATCAGAGTGGAGTCTAATGGAGGAAGAAGGAAGTAAATGAGAGTGTTTTGAGGAGAGGAAGCTGAACATTTCGCGTATTGCGAAGAGTTCTCTGTGAGTTGATGAGGAATGAAGTAGATGGTCGGGAAGACATTGATTGAATATGATTGGTTGATTAGAAAGATGGTGAATGATTGCGGCAATTTGGTTAGCTGATGCGTTCGTGAAAATGGATAGGGTGGTTGTGCGAACTGTCCAGAGTCTTCCTGGTAAGAGGGGCAGGTGAAGAAGCCACCAATAGAGGTTTGATATGAGGTTGTCAGAGATTTGGATTGGTGAGTCCCAATTTGGGGGATTGATGGTTTGATAGAGTGAGGAGAGGTAGAGATGTGTGGCCATGAAAGCTTTGGAGAGGGCGGCAAGTTTGCCAGCGAGTTTGGAGATTGTCCTACTGCAGGAGGGTTGGGGTGATTGAATAAGCTGTTGGATTTTTATGATCTTATCTTGAGGTATCTTGATTCGTTTGTTATGCGAGTCGAGAATAAAACCGAGGAAGCGGATACTTTGCGAAGGGATTAGAGAACATTTGTTGAGGCTTAGGAAGAATCCTAGATTGTGGAGCAATGCTAGGTAGTTGAAGGTCTGCCATAGGAGAAGGGGAAAGTTGGGGTTGGCTAATGCAGAATCGTCTATGTACGAGGTGGCGAAGACATGACGAATTCTAATTTTTGTCATTATTTCTTGCATAACAGTTGTGAAAATCCAGCAAGCAGATGAAATGCCGAAGCAGAGTGTTGTGAACTGATAAGTTTGATTGTTCCAGTTGAAGGCGAGATAGGGACGGGTGTGAGGATGGATGGGGATATGATAGTAACCATTTTTTATATCGAAAGACGTAAGAAAATCTTGGGAAGGGGAGCCAGAGAGACTGGCAGTGACACCATCAATGGATTCATAGTGGAAGGGAGGAAAGGTAAGAAAAAGATTGACGAAGCGGACGTCCAAGATGAAGTGAGTTTTAGAAAACCTTTGAGTGGCGAAGACTGGGTTTACAACGATTGGGTGGGGGGAAGGTTCTATGACTTTACTTGACAAAAGTTGAGAGACTGTTTCAGAGATGAACTGAATGTGATTAGGAGGGTTGTTATGATTTGGAATGACAAGAGGAGGGGGTAGTGCACATTTGATAGTTTTTTTGAAGCTGGAGGCAAGGAGAACCTTCTTAACCATCCTTCTAACTTCAATAATCTTAGAAGTAGGTACATGTGATGTTCCGTCGAATCTAAGTCTCACTCCATGCTGAATCCATTGGAGTACAGAGTGCGAATATCGCCTTGAGGAGGACGAGAAAAGAAGGGACCAGTTAGAGAAGTGTTGGGTAGGGGATGCAGCGACAAAGTCAGCAGGGTCACGGAGCCAGGAAGTGGGTTCTTGAAGTGCGAAAGTTGCTAGTCTAAGGTCAGAAATGGAAGGGGGTGATGAGAAGTTGGAGAGAATGGTGGGAACTGAAGAAATTAGGAAAGGTGGGTGATTATTCATATGTCCTAGGGAGGTCAGTGTTGGAGCTTCTATTGTTATCGTGAATCTTGTAGTGCGAGTCTTGGTGGGCCTTCTTGGAGATTCTGTAGAAGTCGTAGCCGCAGTCCTTGTCTTCATCGTAGTGTCTCTTGGAATGCAGTAGTTGTATTCGGCCTTGATGATCGAAACTGCTCTCTCCATGCCGTTTTGGCGAGGTGCTGCTAAGTATCTTTTGATATGAGGGGCTCCAAGCAATCCTTTGCCACTGACGCGACCCTTGCTCCGAAGTCTGAGGCCATGGACTTGCCGATGGGATAGAAGGAATCATTCATGTTGACAGCGAGGAAGCGGATATATGTCTCCACTTGCGCATAATAGCATAGGGAGGTGAAAATTTTCTTCCATTCGGTCAACTCGTCGTATGCAGGTGGTGCTTTGCCGTTGAGTTTCTGATGGATGGCGTCCATTTCTGATTGGAGTCGTTGGTACAGCTGGTTGGGAGCCCTGTTTTCTTCTTCCTTCTCCATAAGCTTCTTCTTGAGGTGTTCAATAGACAAACGATTTTCTTCCGCCTTGAGTGCCATTTGCTGTTTCAGCTGTTCAAAAGCTTCAATGGTAACTTAAGGATGGTGGTGGGATGAGGAGGAGGGGGTGTTGATAAAGGGCAGGGTGTTGGGGAAGGAATTGTTTGGGGGTGAGGGTGGGGTGTTTGGGGAAGGGGGTTGAGAAGGAGGAGGTGAGAGAGGGTTCATTAATTTCAATGCATGGACATGAACTTTGTAGAGATCGTTGGAGTTATTTGGCTTGATTGTAAAGAGTAGTTCATTAAGGTTTTGGGCGAGGGGGTTGAGACAATCAATTATTTTAGCAGAAGTAAAAACAGGTGGGAGGATAGGTAGTACTGCATGGATGTCGGCCCCGATAACTGATTGGGGGCCAGAGGTTGCAAGAAAGGCATTTATCCATGGATCCATCAGCAAAACACCAACAGAGATTGTCTGTTTAAAACCTTATCTTTATCAAATGTTAAATTGATGCACGACTTTTGCGAAAAAATGCTTTTCTATTGTTCCCGGCCCCCTCCCTCCCTCTTTTTTTTTTTTTTAATTATTTTTTATACCAAAGTGTGTTAGAAGGTCGGATCTATATAGGATTTTGCCAAAGAGGAGAGTACAAATGAGAAAAGGGGGCACAAATATAAGGAGGAGGAGGATGAAAAAAATAGAAAAAATAAACTTGATGGGGAATGTTAACCGGAGGATCGAATTGTGGAAAAAAGTAAGGAAAATGGTGCCGAATAGCTGAAAGGGGAGAAAGACGAGGTGCTCAAAGATGATGCTGAAAAATTCCTCCATGATGATGCTCATGCAAAACATATATATATATATCGTCAAATAGAACTGTATATATATATATATATATATATATATATATATATATATATATATATATATATATATATATATATATATAT